TGCTAAAATCAGCACCGGCGGGTCCGAATTAAACACCGTAATAATTCACCGGCGGGTAGGTACACCTCACTCTCCGTCTCTCTGCCCACCCGTAGTTTATGGCCGTATAAACTATATAATATCTGTCCGCGTGTGCGTGCGCGTGGCACCGCGGTGTCTGGTTAATAGGCATTAAAAACGTCGAGTGTCAAAATGTGCGTAGTGCTCGAGCGACTAAAACCGTCGTTGCTATTTATGCTAATCACGCAGACCAGATGATTTAATAATATTATATATGTTATTACCTGCGCGCGTAATGCAATATAATATAATACAATTTATAATGTTGTACTTGGGCGGCGGCGGCGGCGGAACGTGCCCTCGACGGGATTTCCAACTGGTCGCGTCCGCGCCGACCGATTTCGAGTGGCTGCTGTGACCATGTCCCGCGTGTGGGTGCGCGGGTGGGCGGTTGCCGGGTGCGGGTGGAATGGTTATTTCGAATTGGCCTCAACTAGACCGTGCGTGGCGCCACCGACGACTTGTGCACTCGACTGCTTGCAGACTGTCGAGTATGTACGTACGTGTATTTGTACGTTGGTATATTATATGCTTACCCGTTATTTTGTGTATATTATTATGTATAGTAGGTGCTCGAAACGCGTTCACAAACGCCTCTACACAATATTATTATAATAATTATTCTCTGACCGACTTTCGAAACCGTGGCGGTTGACGAGCACAATAAAATGTAATATATTATTACTAAATTATGTTATAATACGATACAGCCACCTGTAGGGGACTTCGGATACTTGATTGAGGAGAGGGGTACTGGCTGTGGGGCTCTAGCTCCTCCCCGGAGCCACCCCTGGCTACCTAGTATTATATTATTATGCTTCGTCGTGTTAGGTTGACCGTTAAGGACCTCGCGTCTTACGTTTTGCTGTACAACGATAACGTCATAATTGTTCAAGTCCTGCAGGAGAAACGCCATGTTATAATATGCTTTTCAAAATAATTGTCGATCCGAAATTCAAAAGTAGTTAAAAGTTAAACAAACATTATTATTGTTTTTTTGTAGTTCACTAAGAATTTGCACTGTAATTAATTTCATATTTGTTCATTGACAGTAAAAGGAAATAATTGACCTGTCTCAATAACTGCAATTGAACTCGGGTCTGTTATAAAATAAATTCCGTGGAAAATAACTAAAATCAATGAAATGTGTAAGATAAGATGCTTTTAAATCCGATTACATAAAGGTACAACCTAGTTTACAACCTCGAAGTATATAATATACGAATAAAAAATAAGATAGGGGTCACCTGTGTCAACCGAAGTTGGCTATATTTAAGTTTGTAGCAACTAATCTATGTTGCCACTTTTTAGACCATTTGGTATAAAAACATGCAAAATACATCAACGTCGAGCTTTAATAGGGTTTACTCAATAACTACTGCTCCATGTACTCGATAGAGTTTGTTATTGTTGTTGAAAGTAGAAATGGGCAAGTAATTTTAGATTTCGGTTTAGTCAATATATAGTCGATCAAGCCCTTCTGGACGAATTATCGACGTTTCGGTTATTTCTTTACCGATGTTGTATATTTTGAGTTTTTAATTTCTTATGTGATATATAGAGATCTAAATAAAGAACAATGGATAATAACTACCTAGGTAATATATAATATTATTATGTGCAACGATACATGGTTATCGATTTTATTGAATTTTCCTATACTCTGTAATTTGTAGGATCAATTAATAATATCATGTATTGTGTGTATTTAATCATATTTAACCATGCATATTTTGAAAATACAATAATGAATTAACTCTATTTACAATATTAATAAATGCAATGTCAATTAAACGCGTCACGCCTAATACAAAACAAAACAAAAAATATTAAGAATTTAAAGTTATACATTTCGATTAATATACCTGTAATTGATTTGGACTTGAATATCTAGGTCAATATATTTTACATGATACTTACAAGCTGTGCTTGTATAATATTTAAATAAATACTGTAGTACACGGATACTGGTATATAAATTAATAGCAGTCTAGTCCAGAAAAGAATAAACAAATCAAAAATAAATTATGGATTGTTTGTAATATTATTTATTATAATTTTGTTAAAATCCGGCACAATATTAAATTATTATTCAATACACTTTCTTTGTGTAAGGTAATATATAAGGTATTTAAAAACTCATTAAGGTAAAATGTTTCTGAAAAAAAAATAATAACCCATATATATAGGATGGTGTACCATAAAATACTCAATATTCTGAAGAATCTTAAAATTGCTATAATACGGTAATTTAATTTTTTCGATTCTCAGTAAAGAAATGGAAATATTGATTTTATAACGACGTGTGTTTTTTCATCTCAGATTAGATTTTTGATTGTTTTTCATTTTATACACAAATAGACCGTCCTCTGAAAATGAATTATAAGGGTACGGTCAGACTTTATCCGATTTCGGCCGAACTATATTCGGCCGAAATCTTCGAAATTTTCGGATCAAAATTCGGCGGTCACATTTGATCCGTATTCGTCCGAAAAATAAATTAATCCGATAATTATTAAATACCTATGCATCATAGACGTGCATGTTTCAGTTGTGGTTTACATTTTTGTCAGGATGGACGTCTGTGACCACATTTACTTGTTAGAAACAAGCCCTATTTTAAAGTACTTACTGTTACAAGAAGAAAAAAAAGTTTGGGTGAATACAATATATGAAGATAGAGAAAGATTTGGTGAATTCCATACTCTTTTCCCTAAACTCCTGGAACAACCAGTAAAATTTTATGAATATTTAAGAATGACACCGAATACTTTTTTCTATATTCTTGAGAAAATTCGTTTCCAGCTCCAAAAATATTCAAATACTTCCGAATTGTAACCTGAAGAAAGACTAGTAGTTACATTAAGGTAAGTGGGATATTTTGTATTGTAAATGTGTATATAGTGAGTAACAATATAACATTTTATATTATGTAATGTGTTATAATATTTTATTATAAAAACATAGTACTTTAAAAGTAAAGTTCTTAAAAAATATACTTAGTACTTTTGTAACAAAAAAAAATCATAAGTACACCTCTTTCAAACGAAAAATTATGTGTAAATAAAATATGTATGAATAAATGTATAATACTGAAAAAATAACATAATAATTACTTATTGTATAAGAAAAATTAATAAAATGAGCGTTCCTAAACTTGAAAACGTAAAATTATATTCTAACACTATTCAAAAAATATGTTGTAGAAAAAAAACGATTTACTTACTTCAATAAGAGATAAATTATAAAATAATATAAAACATTAAAAGATAACAATAACTATGAACACTTAATAATATGTAGAACTAGCTGTGGCAAAAGTTTGATTTGGTTCTTGAGTATAACTTGCAATGAATTGGTTAGAATCATTATGTATATTAGAACATGCTTGGCTCGATTCTTCGGAACGTGTTGGCTGTAAATATCTCAGATTTAAATCATTTTGATTTAATCTATTGCTGTCACATCTTTCTTGCTCTTCTAAAAATACTTGTTGCAACTTATGTCAAATTAACAATTTTCTATTGTCTGGAAGTTCTTGCAAGTAAGGTACCAAACTTACCATAAAATGAAAACTTTCGTCTTCAATGATGGGGTTTTTTTTTTGCGAATTTTCATTTATTTTACTAAAATGATGTAGTTTTTGTCTTTCGATATTAAGCAAATCACTAATTGCATCATTTTTATTAGTTTTTTTTTTTTTCGCTGGTAATTGCTCATAATATGAAGAATCCATACCCATTGTTGTTTCATGTGATTTTTCCGATGTATTTAAGTCTTCGTTTACGACGTCAATACAATCGCTTTCTGGTGAATTAATATCCCTAGTGTTTTCCAATTCATTCACCGACATTGGTGTTGGGATATTACCTATCATTTGTCTTGGTGTTTCAATATCCTTTAAGAAAGACAATGTTTCATAAAATCTCCACTTCGATGAGCTTCCTCCAGACCCAGATCCTGTTGGTTTTTTGTTCTTGTTTAATTCTTTTTTATAGGTATCTCTTAAATTTTGCCATTTGGTTTTTAATAGATCGCCTATATTATCAAATAATTAAATCAAATAAAAAAAATTGTAAAAATGATGTAAATATTTATTTAAGAAAAATGTTGTTTCTATAATTTTTTAAAATGTAATTAATTCTGTTACCAAAAAATCTAAAAAATATACATAGCCATAGTTTTAGATTCTAAGCAGAGCGATGAATGTGGCAAAGTGAATCTAGATGGTACATTCAGGAGGTCAGTAAAAATGTCCCAATAGTTTTCAATAGCGCCGGGAAAAACAAACAAAAAATCAAGGAAAAACGGGAATTTTAAAATTATTTTGTAGTTAAAAATTGATAAAATGTTCAACTTTTATAGCTAAGGATTTAAAATTAAAAAGAAGGTACCATGTAAGTAGGTTATTCTGTAATTAAAAATATAAACACACAGTTTTTTTTTTATAGTTATTTTTTGTTCATATTAGGACGAAATTACATATAAAATAACCAAGAAAAACGATTTTAGTTATTTTGTTGTAATTTTAATTTAACCTCCTGCGAACCGTATTTATAATAACCAATAAGTAATTACAATATATAAATATAATATAAAATATCCACATGACAAACCGTCTCAGCTCAGAATTGTTTTTCGTATACAATGATATTATATCATTGAATTCAAAATTAACATCCACTTGCACACCTACTGTACAGCAGAGCGACATCAACTTAACCCATCTTTTTTGATTTTTGAGTTACAGTATAAACTAACCTTTTTTTAAAGTTTTTAATCCTTAGGTATACAAATGTAAAATTTTATACATTTTTGCTACCAATAAAATAATTTGTAAATTTTCAATTTGATAAATGTTGTCAAAATTAGAACTTAAAATGCTTGCAAAAAAAATCTTGCCTATGTATTTTTAATATTTTTAAATGGATATTGAAACAATGTTCGAGGATTATTGTATTATAAAGTAAATTTTTTTGATGCAATGAATACAATTTTATTGACATTTGTAGAAAAAAAAACCAAAAAAAATTAAAATTGAAACAGCTCAAAAAGACTCAAAATATTTTTAGTATGTATTTCATTAAGATAAAATAAACATTTGGTGTAATTTGTATGTAACTGTGGTTATTCGTTATTAAATAACAAATGAAATAAGAAAATCGTTCCGTGAGAAATCTATTGAAAATCGAATGTTGTAAAAATTTTAAGTTTTTCTAAAAAACGCTTATAAAAATTTAACTTGACTCTCCAGGAAACATATTTTTATTGTTTAAGGTAGATAAACTTGTTAGGAACTTTGTACTTATTAAATTTTCATATCTATGATATTTTTATATTTCCAACTCATTACTCAACTAATTTTGCAACCTTCCAATGTACTAATACTAGATTCTCTTTCCCAGCAGAAAAGATACTAAAATTGAAAATCGAATCATTATTTCGATAACTTATTGTGTACACACTGAAAAAAACATCATTGTAAAATCATTACATATGCATACATCGCTCTGCTCAAAATCTAAAATAGGCTATTTTGAGCTTTAAAAAAAATGTACATAAGATATTTAATTTTTTTGTTTTCTGTAATAAAAAATAATAAACGTTGTACTTGATGTCACACTCTTATTGTAATCTATAGGTTACACCAACTACAAGTGTAACAGGAAAACATGAAAAAAAAAATGATGCTACTTCACTTCAATGTAGGACAAAAATTGAGGAAATTATATTATTAGGTAAAAAATAATTTAAGAAATATACTCATATCAGCAAATTCCTAAAAAAAATATTTTGAAAAAAGTTATTACGTTCTAAATTAATTTACTAAAAAAATATTGATATTGTAAAAAATTCTAAAAAATAAACTACTTGACTTAGATAATTAATGTTTCTACCATAAAATTGTAAATCATTTAATCTGTCAAGTCTTAATATTACACCCTGTATATGATTATGATTTTTGTATGATTAGGTGTTTTTCTTAAGTGTGTAATTAGGTTTAGATTACTAACTTACACATTTTAAATTATGTTTTAGGTTTCTATCTACGGGAACTCCTTATAGATCATTAGCATTTTCATTTCGTATGGCACATAACACGATCAGTGGAATAATTTATGAAACATGTAACACAATTTGGAATGTTTTTGGACAAATTCATATGCCTTTTCCGACGAAAGATATGTTTTACCAGATTGCTCACGATTTTGAAACTCTGTGGAATTTTCCTAATTGTATCAGGTGCATTGACGGTAAACACATCCGCATAAAATGTCCAAAAAAAACTGGTTCAATGTTTTATAACTATAAAAATTATTTTTCGGTACACTTGCAAGGCGTGTGTGATGCAAAATATAAATTTATTACAGTGGACATAGGAGCGTATGGAAAACAGAGTGATAGCGGTGTATTTACTGAGTCTAATATATATAATTACCTAGAAACAAATTCTTTTAATGTACCACCCAACAGACCACTTCCAAACACAAATATTCCAATGCCTTTTGTTTTATTGGGAGACCAAGGATATCCACTAAAAGAATATTTGATGCGACCATATCCATGCACCACAAATTTGGATCCAGAAAAAGAAATTTTCAACTATCGTCTTAGTCGAGCCAGACGAATGATAGAATGTACATTTGGTATATTAGTATCAAAGTGGAGGTGTCTAAAAACGGAATTACAAGTTAATGAAGATCACGTAGACACAATAGTTAAATGTATCTGTTTATTACATAATATAATTATCGATCAGGAAGGGATTGATGATACGCTTCTTGTAAATATTCATCAAACC